CGAGCATGGCCGACACGACAGAATGGTCGCAAAATGGAACCGAGGAGGAGGATCGTGATTTTAATTTTGTTGAACTCTGGCTGGGGTTAGCCGTTTTTCTAGAGAGCACCGTGCCGCAGCTCTCTGGACAGCGAACACTGCGACGAGCCACGAACCACCCAGAACTTACCTAGGGATACAGGCCAGGTAGGAAATGAGTCTCCTGAGATCCTCCTGTCGTATTCTGTCATGATTGCTGCGGGCCGGGAATGTGAGGATAGGACCTCCGCGCTTGTCTCTGCCACCTGAGAAACAAACGTGGAACACGCTTAGAAACGAGAGCAGATGCTCTGCGCCCCTGGAAGTCCAGAGTCGTCACTGGTCCGCCCACAGCTGCACCTCCGCCGACTGCAAGGCCAGGAAGGGCCGGGCAAAAGGCCGAGTCCGTGTTTCGGTGGGACAATGGGACACTGCCAGGCTGTTTCACCCCTCCCAGGGCTCTGCAGGGAAAGTCTGCGTTCTGTACACCATACGAAGGACACTCAGAGGCCCTGTCTTTCTCTTCCCATGTGTTTCCTTTTTTCAGTTTCACGTTTGGAGACCAGAAAAGTTTCCGTGTCTACACGATTCATGCGCCTGAACGAAGCGACCGCCTCCTCACGCACCCCTGCCCGGCATTCTCCACCTCGCTGTCCCCTCTCCTTCCCGCCCCTGTATTCGAAGCTCTCTCTTTGCTGCCAACCAAACCAGGTTTTGAGCCTTGAAAGGGAAAAATACAGATATTTTCCAAACTTGACGCTGATGATGACCTTATGTAATCTGGGAAGGTCTAGGGAATCTTCTTCTCTCAAGGGCAACGGGTGACCCCACGGGTCAAACAGGGCCACACATACAAAAAAAGAGAGGTGGGTATGCAAGAATTTTAAACTAAATTAGCTTAAGGACTACAGAACAATTATATCACATACCAACTACAAATCTCAGGTGACTGGCCTTTGATAGGCAGAAATACTTCTCATTAACACATTAATACACAACCCTAAAGAAGTCTGCGGGCATCACTGACCACTTCCATGAAGATGAAGCTGTCGCACACATTTCTTTCATCGAGGCTTTCGGAAAAAGAAAACACAGAGGGAAAACTGAGCTTTCCCAAGTGGATCCTCCATTTAGTTTTACAACTCTGGTCATCTTCGGAAGTACGACACTAAAATCTCTAAATTCAACTTATAATATGAAACTCTTAATTATTTTCTCATCTTAATTACTTACCTCATCAGCAAAGGTAAAATTAAAAAGCGAGCAAACAACAACGGAAAACCAGATTCTCTCCTTTTAGAAGGACCGAAAAAGGAGTCAGAAGATACTCATACTTAAAAAAAAAACAACACACATTTTACCAATATGGGTTTTTACAATTTCCTGGGATGATTAACACTCCCTCTAAATAATAATTAGACTTAATTCTGAACATTTAAAATGATCCACATGTACTGTTCAGTAACAGTCTTAGAAAAGTGTTCGATTATTTATGAATCCAATAATTCTGGTAATGAATGGAAACAAACCTAAACCATAGCTACAAATAAATACATGCTAGGTGTGGCATTGCATGGTTGATACACGTGTTCTGATTTGGTCATCACAATGACCCTGGTAAGAGGTTTTACCATTCCAGCTGTATAATTAAAGATACTGAGGCTCAAAGAGCTTAAGGCAAAAGGACTATGACACACGGTCACAGCTGGGTCCTTTGCCCTGACAAGAACATATGTAACTTTCTAATCCCGTGGGTTTAGTTCTTTCTAAAGTAGTAGTAGTAAATGATGGGCTCCCAGGCCTTCCTCATGAATGAAAGGTACTATGAAAAGTGAGAAGCAGTTATAAAGGACAGAATGCCATCACCAAGGCTCTGCAAGAATCGTCCACAAGATCAGACAGTATTTTTAAGGTAGTATCAATGGCTCTCGTTTGGGGGAATACCTCTTGTCTTGAAGACAGGTAACAACTTCAATACTTTCTATTTCTCAACATTTTTCATTTTTTTCAAAAGTGAATCAATCTCCTTGATAAAAAATATTATAGACCAACACACTACAGAAACTTGAGTGTTCAAAAATACAGCAAGCTATTTAGATTAAAACACTTACCCTACTCTTGGGAAAGAGAATCGCATCTAACATTTTTCTGGACCACCACTCTAAGTTTTCTTAAATGCAACATAATGTTTGACTCAGTAGGGAGACTAAATGCCAATGACCCATGTTCAATTCTCCTCCCCCTGTGGTCAGCAAATCTCCCAGTGCAAGCAAGGCAGGCTCCACCAAAGCATGAAAAAGCAGGATCCAAAATCTGCCCATCAAAGACAGTCACGTGGGTAGCCAACAGGTACGCGCACTGCACACGGCCACTCTGCTCACCCGGAAGTGAGACCTAAACTTAGCAGGTGTGCACAGAGGCGCACCAGGCCCCGCTGCTCTGCCTCCACCGCCCGCCACAGAGATCCCCCCAGGCTGGCAGCACGGGCTAGGGGTCCCCTGGAACTCACGTGACAGCAAGCTCACCCACCAGACAGGCTCTCATCCGTGTCCTAAGATAACAGCTTATTTAAACCTAAACTTCAACTTTTAAGATAGAGGGGAAAAAATCACTTTATCTTCTTCCTTCTCCCAGAACAGGGAAACTCAGAAAACTCAGAAAACTCAGTAGGATAGTTCTAAAACTTCGCTCGTATCTTGACTCATTAATAAAGAAAAGAGGAACAACAAAAAAACATCAAAAATCACTTGTGAAATAAAAATTTCATATTCTCTCTTAAAATAATTAAAATTTTTGTTTTCGCTTCCTCACCTCCGTGCACTGGGGTACATCTCCCGATGTGTGGTGTGTCACAGGCAGTGACAGGTGGGCGTCCATCGCCCATCTGCTGACCACTCCCCAGTGAGGTTAAAAAATGTTTGTATTAGAACTGATGAAATGTAGTATTCGTTTCAGAGGTACCTGGTCTCTGAACCTCCAGGAGCTCAAAATCAATGCCACAGATGTCTGTTCAGATTATACGCCCCAAGATTTAGCCTGGTTGCCAATGACACAGAAGGCACCCAGATGAGAGTGCTGTCCAGGTTACGAAGTGGAAAACTTACAAGTTCAAAGCTGTTGCTCCTGAACTAATAACTATGATGATGCTGCAGTTCACAAAAGCTTCGCCTACTAGATTCGCTCCTGTGTCTGGTATCAACCACGGCCTCACGGTGAGGCAGGCAGGGCAGATGTCAGTCCCGTTTTATAGACAGGAAACTCAACACCTTGGTTTCAACAATGAAAAGAAAAGGGCAGGAAAACCGTTTCCTGCACCTACCACCGTCACAGGATATCTACGTAGGGGAGTTTTAGTCGCGGGACCTCTACATGTCTGTAACCAAAAACCAGCTCGAAACCCAGCTCCTCAAGGACTATGCGCCTGTCCAAAACCTAAACAAAAAGGGCAGATTTTGTTCCTAATGACACCGTTTTATTTTCAATTCTTATAAAAACAGCATCCTCTCTACCCTTTCTCTCCCCATCTTTTATTTCTGTAAGGCACCTACCACCTTCCAGGAACCTATATAATTGACACATTTTTTGTCTGTCTGTCTCCTCGACAGAGTGGAAGCCGCATGGAGTATTGGTTCATTCACTGAAATCGGTATACGCCCTCAGTGCCCAGTGAGACTGGCACAGAAACATCACCCAATAAATAGCGGCTGAACGGATGGGTTCTTCTTCTATATTCCACACAAATTTAATTTAAAAATACCTACTATCAGGTAGTTAAAAATGGAAATGCCTGATGAACATTTCTATAGAAACACAGATGCTAAAAGAACTGAGGTTTATTTTAATATTAGAAAGAAGGCTGAAAATGTCCTACATTAGAGCTACAAATGTCTGTGTGACATTTCCTTAAATCCAGTGATACTCATTTCCTTCTTCTGAAAGGTAAACCTCCAGGGGACTTGGTCTCTTGAGCAGTACGGCCCAGAATGACCGGAAGCAGCTAGATTCAGAGTTGCCCATCTTTCGATGAATTAAGAACTCCCCTTTCACCCAATTAGAATCAACTTCTCCTGGAAAGAAGGTATACTCACTTTGAGAAGTATCATGTAAATTCCAATGAACCAACAGGATTTTTCTCTGTGTGGCTCTCATTTGAGTTTCTAGATTAAATCACCATTGAAAAACCTTCTTTACGGCCCCCCGAGTCTAACTCACTGACCCTGAGAAGCTCTGGAAAGACATGGTTTATAAAAGAGAAATGATGGCTATAATCTAAGAAGTCTGCTGTCGAGTAACCAAACTCTGTAAGGCGTCTGCCCGGCCCCACTGCAGGAGCAGCCACGGCCAGCGGCTCGCCAGCCCCGAGTCTTCACAGGCTCGCCAGAAACTGGCTCTCAGGGGACCCTAGAGATCTGGGAGGGCCGCTGGCAGTGCCTGCATGCCCGTCAGTCGCTGCAGCCTCAGACCGTGCTAGATAGTACCGAGAATGTGCGAGAGGAATGGGAGGTCCCCTTCCCTCTCCCCGGACTGCAGAACCCTGCAAAACTGGAGCAAGAACTAAGGCCAGTCATCGCAATGCTACCAGCAAACTCCGGGCAACCAAGTCCTACCTTTCCGTCAATACGCCCACATGCAAAGGTGAACGTTCACCCTGGCCCCCCCAAAAAGCTATTCTAAAAGAGTAACCCAGCGTCCATCCATGGGCAACGGACGGAATAAACTCTGGGGTTACACACACAGCAGTTACGTAAAACTCTAAAATGAAAGAGGGCTCTGTATGTACTGCTATAGACTGCTCTCTGGAATACGGTTTAAAATCAAACAGCTGGAGCAGGGAAAACAGTGAATAATGACTGTGTATCTAGGGGAGGGGGAAATGAGAATAGATGGATGAATAGTGCTCTTATTTTAAAAGTATGAGAAATCAATCAAAAACTAAAGAAAACGAAAACAAAAACACGCTTCCTATAGGGAAGAGAAGGTACAGGGCGAAAGACGGAGAGAAGCTAGATCTGACTACATGTTATCTTTAACGTTTTTCTTTTTTTTTTTTTTTTTTTTCAGTTTTTTAACATCGGAATGATACACACATTTTACTTAGTATTGAAGCAAAATTAGGTGTTTTTTTTTTTTTTTTAAACCTTAAAAATATAAAGCACGATGAAACAAGTGATCTGTTGTTCCAGTTGTTAGGAACTTGATCCGCAAGGAGAAGAACTACCTTACGTGACCTGAAAGCACAGTGACAGGACAGTGCCCTCCTAGTGGCACGTGCTCCCAGGACGCAGAATGACAGAAGCATTAAATCACATGTGGTAGCTGTGCTGTGATGACAGCACCAGCAACATCGATGTAGGTGAGCAGTTACGTTGATGAGGGCAGGAACTAAGACTGAGCATGAGAAGGAGATGCAAGTACACAATCAAAGAAAACTATCTGCGATCCTAAACTGGAAACTGTATTATGAAGTCATCTCATCTTTTCTCATTAATACACACACACACACACACACACACACATTCTTAGAGACACAGAACCAGTGACTTCACTGGGAACATCAAGCTTCCCTAGCACCCTGCACGGCTCCGCACCAAAGGGACCAGGGAGCTTTAGAGAAATGGCCAACTGCAGATGTGGAGCAGGAAACAGACCTGAAACATCTTGTCAGAGACGCAAAGAGAGAAGCTGTATTACTGTGGTATGTGGATTCAGGAGCCGATCTGAAGATGGGAAATTTGAACTTCATAAGAAAAAACAAACAAACAAAAATGCACAGTGAATTAAAACACACCAAATTATTTAAAATCATGAGCTCGAAATACTAAAAAAATACAAAAACAAAAACAAAAAAAACCCTCAATGGATTTATTAGTCTGAAATACCTAACCATTACTTTTCATTAATCTGAAAACTGGTAAAGGACAATTATCAGTCAGTTATTTATCCTGCTTTTCCTGTATGAACTGTGTTCACAGGGTAACCACAAAACCAATGATGGGACATTTCTCTTCATGGAATATCCAAGTTGATAAATAAAGAAAAAGGATATAATTAGAACGTCACATTTTTGCAACCCTAGTAATATGCTCTCACAGCAACGATCATTAATGAATGCTTAACCAGACTCTCCCAGTGAAGAGCTCTGTAGAATCACCCACCACTGCCCATGAAGGATTTTTGCCTCCTTCCCTGCAAAATCTAAGCTAAGTCTAATCAAGTCTCGTGATTTAGTTGCTAGTTTGTAAGAAATACAGAGGAAGGGGGACCATGTTAGATGACCACCCAGAAAAATCTAATAAAACATAGGGAAATCTGCAGGAGAACCTGGTGTCCTTGTCTAATAAACATAAAGAGGTGGGACAAAAATTCAATGAAGAAGAACTTCCAAATTAAAAGAGGCGTCAGACATATCAACCAACTGTGAAAGACAAATTATGACAAGCAGGGAAATGGGAATATCGACTGGCTTTTTTATATTAAAGAATTACCATTCATTTTTGTCTCAATGGTAGTGTGAATTTTTCTTTATTATTTTTTCAATTACAGTTGACATTCAATGTTATTTTATATTAGTTTCAGGTGCACAGCACGGTGGTCAGACATTTATATAATTTACGAAGCGATCAGTGTGGATTTTTTTAAGCTTATCTTTTAGTGAACTAAAATATTTAGAAATAAATGACATGATATTTGGAATTTACTTCAAAATCATCTACAGTAAAGGGAGGGAGGAGTGAATAGGAGCAGAGGTGAAACAAGATTACTGACGTGTGCCGCAGGTTCATGGAAATCCAGTAAGTCTATTCTCTTCTGTGCGGGATGCTGGAATGTTCCATGATAAGAAAAAAAAAAGTTAAGGGGAAAAAAGTGTTCTTAATCCTGGTAGTTACGAGTTCTTTTGAGGCCCAAACTCTAGTGGTATAGGAACCACACGCAGTGGTTGAAATTATACATGTCATATATCTATAAGATATACAGATGCATGCATGCATGCATGTATGTATGTATGTATACACATACTTGACATTAAAGCTATATTACATTAAATATACACACTGCAAATGTATATAATGCATTAAGTATATACACAATTATAAATATACTACATTAAATGTACATATATATACACAACAGTAAGTAGAAACTACAGGACACTTCTTTTACTGCTCCTTCTGCCTTCAAGCATGAAGTTAGCTATGTCATCTAACCTCATTTAATTCACCCTCTGAATGGAGAAAGTAGTATTTTGTCATCTTACTTAAGTGCAATGAGGATTACTTTTTAGAAAACCTGGAGGTGAGACTGAGGATCGGAAATATTCAAGTTCAAAGAATCCTCATTTAGAGATCTTGATCTGATAAGTATCTATCTCATGGAATCACTGATCTTTTGGTCTTTTTAAAAGCCCTGGCTATTTCACGTAGACTTAATTTACTAAAAGCCACTCGCATGGAGAGCTTCTACAAAAGTACTATAATATTCCAATATTTTAAAAAATGGGGTCGGAGTAGAAAGATTAGCAATTGCCAGACGTGGGGGTGGGGGGATGGGGAACTGGGCCTGGGGCTCCTCGTCGGGGTTGGGGATGAAAACGCTCTGGACCTAGGTGATGGCTGCACGACCTTGTGACTACACTAAAATCTACTGAATTGTATACTACAAAAGGTGGTTTTTATGGTATGCGAGTTATTTCTCAATTAAAAAAAAAACAACATAGGGTCACAGGTAAATTTTTTTTTAAAGTTTCCTCATTCTCTGTAACTTTTCAAAAAAAATTTAGCATGCAAATTGTCATCTGTCTTTAATTTTTATGATATTTTTTTTTTCCTTTCTCCTTCCTAAATGAGATCACAGCAAGCCTAAGGCGATCAGCAGTCAGCTCACGCTAACGCGACTTGCCAATCTGGTCACAAATTAGGAAGAACTATAAAATTGTGGTGGCACCTACTAACTTCACTTCATTAACACAGCTGGTAAAGTCCTGCAGGCTCTCATATTTTAAAACCATTCTGTACCAATTTGTTGCAATGCGAAACCGCTCTCCCCACTCAAGATACCCAGCTTTAATTAACCCTGCAGAATTTAAGGTTTTCGTAAAGATTTATGATAAACTCTGAGGACTGCTGATTTTATTTCTTCAATTAATTAAAAGAGAAATCATTTTTGTTTCGATAGGAACTTACATAAAAATTCCATCTAATAACATATTCTGTTTTAAATGCCTAATAAATGAATGAATACAAATGAAAACCATCAGTCTAAACCTTCCGCTGTTCCTTGCATGCCTGTCTCCAGGAGCTTAACAAAAAAGGCAGCAGAAAAGCAAGAAATTTAGGAAGGAAAGTGGGACAGAAGGAGCAAGTGCTCTCCTCACAGACACAAACTCTAAAATGAAAACCTGACGAACACGCGGGATCGGTTTTCTTTAAGACTTTCTTACTGATACCTCTCATACGTATGAGCAGAGCTTTTTCATTATTATTAACTTTAAAATCCACCTGTAAACTACGACGTCAGGAACTCACCAGACTAGCACGAGTCCATATTATGCAGTTTGTCAGCAAAAGATTAGAAAATAGCAAAGGCTACTTCTGACACAGTGAACCACAAGCCAAGTGTTTGTTATTTTTCATTTGTTTTTAACCACATATTCCCAACAGCATAAAGCATCTTCTTCTTTTCACGAACTTCGTACACTCTTCTGTGAACCTACAAACGCGTTCGTTTTACTTCAGCAAAATATCAAATGGTGTTTAGTAGGGGCCGAGAACTACTGCCAGATAGAAAGAGAGGGGAGAGTAATGAAAACACCATAGGAAGCTGCACCCTAAATATGTGCCAGTCCCACAGGCCAGAAGGACACACGCAGCATATAAAAGCAGCGAACAGTGTTAAATTCAAAATAAAACGCTTTCAAGAGAAGACATCACATCAGCATAGTATGACCAAGAACGATAAAAATTTATCAAGGGAAACATCCAGGAGCAGTGCCTTAAAGCATGAGACAATGGACACATTCACTCCTTGCTAAAACAGAGCAGAAAACTCTTGCAAACCTTTGTACTGGAACAAATGGACTAGTGCCCAAACGGTATAACACCCAGGGGCTATTCCGTTCATACAGGAGGGAGCCAAGGAGACGACCCAAAAAAGCCCTAAAGCTGACCCTCTGTGTGCAGAGAAGAGGGCAGTCAGGTGCCCCCAAGCCTTCCAGCCTGTCACCACACTGCCAGAGGCCCAGGCGCCCCAAGGACCAGGTCCTACAGGTAAGGGGAGGACCCAGCTGGTAGAAGATCACTGGGGCTTTCACGGTCCATCGCAAGGGTTCTAGGACCAGAGAGGCCAAAGGAAGAGATGTCATGGACGTGAGGGCTTTCTCACCTCCCAAAGGAGGGAGCCACAGGGAGGTACAGAACACAAGAAACCACGGTAAGAAATTCAGGACCTGTAGACATACAGTCACATTCCCACCACTTTTGCTGAGATGACAGACTTTTTAAAAAAATCAGTTGTTTTACTTAACTGATCGGGGCAAAAGCCAAAAGTCTGTTGAGCCACAGACACCGGCATATTTTAATCACCAATGCTAACTGGCTTAGGATGTGCCTGCTGGCTAAAAGAAAATGCTCTGGGAACCAGTTTCTCAGGAAAATGCTTTGAGGATAAAGCAGTTAAAAATCCACCAAAATGCCAATGCTTTTGTGTATGGCAGGTGAGTCAGTTTATTATTTCAGACTCTCATACTGTGTCAGAAGCAGTTGGAGAAACAAAAAAAAAAGGCATTCCAAAGTTAAACGTTACCTGAAAGGTATGCAACTTTTTCCTTTAAAATTGGTAAAACATCCATAGCTTTCATCTCATCATTTTTTCGAAACCCTGAAATACAGAAGGAAAAAACAAAATTACTAGGTTGCTTGAGTTACAGTTAATTTCTTAACGATTCTATCCAATGCAAAAAAGAGCAGCTTTCTTCACGCCCATTAAATCAACTCTTGAATATATCTGAAAACATTTGAAATCTACAAAGGGAAGTCGCTGGTCACAGCGTTAGCTTCTATTTTAATGCCAAGCAATGATGTGCACACAGACCCAGAGGCTACTGTACCCAGCTGGCTCCCAGCCATTTCTAACAATAAGAATCCGGTCCCCAAAAGACAGGTCATGAAATCGGTCCAGACCATTTCAAAAATCTTCATTCTAATCTTACAAATTAATGTAAATAAATACTAGCAAATAAAGCAGCAACAGTGTTTTTTAAAAACTATTTGTAGCATACTAAAACCTCTAGGGGGAGCTCAAAGCCGCATCTTACCAGACTTTAGAGTCGTTAAAAATACACAGTGGCAGAGAGGACAGAAGAGATTATAAATAGCTGGGGACTGGCCACAGCTCCCTCTTGGCTCTGCCCTTCCAGGCTTTCTGTGTCATGCCCCCCTGGAGGAATGTCACTGGTTAACATGGTAAGATGGCCCAGTGCCACCTGCTTCAGAGGGTGGCAAGGCCCTCATCTCACTGCAAACCAACTCTCCCCATGGCCCTCAACACCTTAGAGGGCCAAGTGGGGATCTCATGGAAAGGTCACACGCAGCACACAGTTCAGGCCAAGCCAACGTCCATCTAACCAAAAGGAATTCTTGTAGCCCACACACGTCTAGCCCAGCTCACCAGGGCGAATGTCCACATGGGGGTTAGGGGTGAAAAATGTTCACACTCATAACACCTCAGGATATTTCTCTTGGAGGTCTCTAACAGATCATCTGTGCTCGAGGATATTGGCCATACTCATCAAAACCATAACTATCGTTATTGGCCGAGCAATTTCTAAAAAAAAAAGACAAAAAGTGCTGTTCGTTTTTGTATGTTTTTGCCAAAATAGTACAAGAGAAGCATCCAGAAAGTTAGCTTGGTCACACAACCAACGCAAAACGTAGACCTGGAATTAGAAAGTAAATGAATTGAGCCTGCGTAGCTCCTACTGGTCCAGCCCAGCCACAAACTAAATCTACAGAACACAACGATCTCAAGGCGCCGGAGAGCGACCAAATGCAAGGAGAGAACGTGGAAAGAGGGAATTGCTTTGCCCGCACCTCCCAGACGAGAGCTTTGAGCCTGAGGACAGGGCCCAGTCTAAGCCACGTGGAGCTGCTAAAACAAGAAATAGGACACAGGTCAGGGCGACGTCAGCAGCTGAAACTGAGCAATCACGGAAAGGAGAAGGGGAGCCCCAAATTCTGAGTATAAACTTGGCCAAGCCTCTGGCTGTCCCCTGAGCCTCATACGCGCAGGGAGGGCAACGTCTAGGTTCAAGTCGAGGCAGGAGAGTTTGTAGCCTGAGTCTCACCCAGTTAGCAGCCTGCTAAAGCAAACAAAGTCAGCACCTTTGAGAGGAATATAACAGAACCCAGTCTGCACAGCACAGAGGCAAAGAATGACTGAAATAATGGTGTGATTGCATTAAGTAAATCTCTCCTGTCCACAGAACATGTCCTAAGAACCCAGTTTAAGGGGAATGACAATGACTGACAATCGCCAGGGACTTTGCATAAAGACAGCAGCAAACACATCCTGATGAGGACCCTGAGGTCCAGGAGGCTTCGTGACACTAACCTGGTCAGCCATGAAAGGGCTCAACACAACCCAGGCCACCGGCTCACCAGGCCGTATTGTTTTCCAGCGTATCACACTTCACGCTGGCAACCCACCAAGCTTATGAAACAGTGGCTGTTCATAAAAAGCAAAACAAGAGCCAAAGGTTCTGCAATTTCATCCTTAAGGCTCCTTCAAAACTCTTGAATGGATGCAGTCTAGTCTCAGCAATTCACTGCCCGTCACTGGGTCATTCACTACTGAGTGTGCCCACAAAGACCGATAACATCCCGATTCCATCTGAGGTGGACACGGATGGCAGTAGGGCAAATGCGAAGAGGAACTGGGCACCACAGCAGCCCTGGAGGAGACAAGTTTATAAACACCCACAGAATGAGGCACAGAATGAAAAGTTCCATAAGCAGCACAAAGTGCTAGGGGCCCGGGCAAATGTGGAGGCAGAAGAAACACTAGGAAGGATTAAACCCAATCTACAGAGATTTGAAGAGGATCCCCTTTCTACTGCCAGCAAAGAAAGGGCATGCTTCCTGCCATTCCCACACAGCCTAGGACACCGACGCCCTGCCTAGGACACAGCGATGCCCTCTGAGAAGTGCCACCCACTGCAGTCCTGGCCTCCCACACTCCGGAAACAGGAGCCCACCTGCGGGTCTAGCTCCCTCTCACACAACTCTCAAGGAGAAGGTCCTAATCCCGGTGCCGGTCCCTTGAAAGAGGACTGTGTGACTTACACGATAGTGCCGAAGCTTTCCTGACAGCCCCCGTGGACTCTGAACCACACCTATTCGCTAACGCCTGATGGAGCGAATGATGGAAGCTGGAGCTGCCCGTGCCAGGCCGCCCCACAGGAAGAACGTCGCACTGACGTGGAAAGTGAAGAAAACAGAACTTAACAATGAAAGTCTCAGTCTCCTGTGTCCCACTGTAAAGCCACAGTCTCAGTCCCAAGTGTCTTTAGTTTCTTAAAACTGTGGTGACATTAGCCTATCAATTCCTGAACTACCCTAAATTAAATAAGATTCAGTCTTTCTAGAGGAGGAAAGGCACATGAATCAAAGGCTAAACTGGTGCTGAAATGTGTTATATTTCTTTTGTGACACACGTATATATATATGTCCAAACAAAAACTAGAATATAAATATAAATTCTAAAGTTTTACATATGTTGCATATGTCACAGGAAGAGAGATTTTTTTAAATTAAAATTGTCAACTGAAACTTTTAAAACAAAACAAAAAGAAAAAAAGCAGATCTATAAAACTAACCACACAAAGAAATAGAGGTTGTGGCTATTAGGCAGTCACCTAAGCATTATCTTTTATTGCGTTTCCATTTTAAAAATAATGTACCCAATAAGCAAAAGACTGAAGATGTGTGTATATGTACTAAAGCTAGATTAAATACATCATGTAACTTTCAGTTAAAAGAAGGAAGAACTCAGCCACGAAATATCCTCAGATCAAAAAGGCAGATTCGGTTCCATGCCCTAAAGAACTATTTATGAAAACAGCGTATGTGACCATAAAAAAAAAAAAAAAAAATTTACAAAGAAATGGCTCATGTGCTATTTCAGTGATTCTAGATTACGCTGCAGATAACACAACTCCTACTGTCTTTTCCCCTCATGC